TGTGTCTGACTGACATCGTACCATACTCTGTGCCCAAAACTTGGCCCAAATTTTCTATTGTGAAATGAAATTCAGAAGCCCCCAAATATCTTGTTTTAAAAAACAGGCGAGATCAAAGCAGGTTGACATTTATGTAAAACTATAGACTGTATGTAGTGTTAGGGCATAAGAATTTCTGTACTGTGAGGAGTTCCTGCTGCAGCAGATCTTGGCAGAGATGGATGCTGATGCTGTGTTTAATATAAGCAGAGGCAGCCAATATAAGCAACATTGAAGAGGGCATAATAAGTAAGGTGAAATATTTACAGGTAGCAGAATGTCTTCGAGAGTCATTTTGGGAATGTGGTCCAGAATTCTGCTAAGCAAATCCTTTTGGAAGATATTGACAAAGTTTTTGCAAGATATGATCTCCAACCTGTTTTGCTTCTTTGTTCCATATTCCTTATGTTTTTGAAGCATGGTAAAATAAACTTACCCGGGTTGAAAAAAAAATTTTTTTAAATGTATTTTTATTTTATTTTTGGGGGATCTGAACCTGTGATCTTGGTGTTATAAGGCTGTGCTCTAACCAACTGAGCTAACTGGCCAGCCCCCGAAAATGCTTTTGATTAGGAAATCAGCTAGTTCTAGTCCACGGCATGGTGTAAAGAAAAAAAAAATTCTAATTGAGGAAATAAAATAAACTTCTGCAGTTGTTTGCTTGATACATTACTTTTTAAAAAACATTAAAGAAAGGTTAGAGGAAAGGAATGTTTACTCAGTTAATATTAGGACAGTTTATATGTTTTAAGGTAATATGTCAGTTTATTCCTCTGATAATAAGGTACGAATTATTTTGACAAACCATTTGAATATTTAGAAGTAATTATGTACTATTTGAATAAAAGGTTCTTTCTGTGATCTGAAAAGTTCAAAGTGAAGCTACTGTAAAAATAGTCACTTTAGGGATATGCACCTTGCAGCAGGCTGTGTGTTATATAAATAAATTTGACAGGAACGCACATTCCCCTGAGTAGTGAGCGTAGCTACAACCATCCAGGCACAAAGGAAAATCAGTGCTAGGTTATAAATCCCACTTTATATTTGGCTTTGTAGCAGTTGGACTTAGTCAATGATTGGTCTTGGCGAAGTGTATTTACAGTTAAAGTAGCTTATTTCCTTAAGAGTCAAGTATAAAATAACATATAGTTGGGTCTTTGAATGTTGTTATTCTGAGATCTCGTATTTTGCTGGGGCCTATGATCATTCATCTATAAATATTTCAGTATGCATCTCTAAAAAAATGGGAGAAAAAAACCTCAACGCAATACCATTACCACACTTTAAAAACTTAATAGTTTCTTACTATTATCTAATATGTAATCAGTCTTCAATTTTCATTCATGTCATATATGTCATAAACTTTTTTAATGTTTGAATCCAGTCCTCTCTTGTTCACCTTGCAGTATATTTGCTGAAGATTTCAGGTCTCATCCTTTAGAATTTCCAACAGAGTTGATTTTGCTAATCATGTCCCAAGATGTCCTTAAAAAACGTTTCTCTGTCTGTACTTTTGTAAATTGGTAATTGTATCCAGGGGCTTGAACAGATTCAGGTTTGTGAGGTGAGATTACTTCATAAGGGGCGGCTTGTTCGTTTTTCTTTCAGGAGACATAACAACCAACATATCGTTTGGTTGTCTGTCTTTTAAAAATCCCTAGATTAATATGACAAAATGGCAGTGTTTCAGTTACTTTTCATTTTCTAGCTGGTGTATTTCTGTAGAGAGAAACCTCTCATTTGATCAAATAGTAATTACTTGACAATACAATTTGTATGGAAAAAGAACATTAAATCTTTATTCTTTTGCTTTTTTTATTGGTTTTCAAAATAACAAAATGGTTTACTAGCATCCTATCATGGTGACCAATTAGTTTTTTGTTTATGATATCATGGTTATAAACTCATGGGTTTAAATATATTTGTGTTTTAATATTTTGTGGCTGTTAGTTTTATTAATAATTCAAATTGCCTCATATTTGGCTAGTGGGAGCCTATTCAAGTCAGCTCTTTTTTGGTGGCTGCCCTGTATGGCATTCCTAGTCCTTGGTGTTGGTGTTAATCAACACTGTTTTCTAACCAACTGAGCTAACCGGCCCCCCTTGTCGAGTCCTTTTAACAAGACCATAGTATTATTTGATAGCTTCCTTTTCATCTGGTATGTATGAGATGAGCCTAAAACATTTCTTGCCCTAGACCTGGAACCAACCATTTCTCTGAAGAGCCCTTGTCCACATTAGTGGTAAATTCGTATTTGGAGACCATATTCTGGGCATTAGGGATGCTCATTGCTACTGGGTTGGTCAATTTTTCTAGACCTTTTCAGAGAACAGAGCTCAGAAATATATATTTTAAAGCCATGTCATGAATTCATGTTGATATTTCCAATTCAGATTTATGAACATATAGTTTTTACTTTTATATGCTCTGCCCATTCTTTTTAGTCTTATTCTTCTTGATCATGACTTTATCTTATTAGCAAATCTGTTCATAAATCTTATAAATGCCTTTTGCTGTCCAGCTTCTAACATTCTGTCTAGTTTCAAATCCCTCCCCCCAACCTTGATCATATGCTGATCTCCATATTTCAAGTTTTTGTACACACTCCTCTGTGTAAACCATGTACTCTCCTCACGCCAAATCCTTTGTCTTATTTTTTTTATTTTTAGAAGAATTTTTGACTCTTCATGATTATGTTATGTACTCTTCTTTTATGCCCCTCCAAATTCCCATACTATTGTTGGAGTGTTTACTACACTTTATAATTGTCTGTTTACTTCTCTGGGAATCAGGAACTGATGATAGGCAAGTGCCAGATGATGTAGTACAAACTGAAAATATAATTAATAGGAATTTAGCAGAAGCTGAAAGATTATTTGATAAATTACTTAGGGAAGGCCCTGTGAAGGAGAATGGTGCTTGACTTGGACCTTGAAGGAAGCATTCATGAAGGTATGATGATGGTCTACCCCTGTAGGTGGATTAAACTTGTTAAATCCTCATGGATCTAGATCTAGGAGGATCTGCGCTAGGGACAAAAGCCATGGCAAAAGTGAGATGCTGGAGATTGTTCAACATTGCTTTTTCGTTAATTATATGAAAAAAGCAATGGACACCATCATTACTGTAGAAGAAAAGCATGGCAAGAATGTGCGAAATATTTTAAGAACTTAGGGTATATTGACAAATGTGAGAAGAGATGTAAGGAAATTTTTAAGGGTAATTTATGCTAATTTCAGAGCTTACCCACCTACATTATAAAAATTCCACTGGACTTTTGATGGAAAATGGATAAACTATGGAATCTTTCACAAGACTGTGTACAATATTGGAGAAAATGGTCTGAGTAATAGAATAGTGTTCATCTAGAAAAAGATTGAAAATGAAAATAACTGCCCATACTGCATTTGTCAGTGCTCCATTCCATCCCTCAATTGTCAGTGAATGGCTGGTTCCAGGTCTAGGGCAAGAAATGTTTTAGGCTCATCTCATACATATCAGATGAAAAGGAAGCTATCAAATAATACTATGGTCTTGTTAAAAGGACTCGACAAGGGGGGCCGGTTAGCTCAGTTGGTTAGAAAACAGTGAAGGGGGACTGATCTTTTCTAGCATGTCTGCAGCATAGTTGGCACTCAGTAAATGTTTGCATCTATAAACAAAATAACAAGATTAAAATACTATTCCTGTCAATGTCTTCGCATTTTCAATATCTTTTATATTTTTTAAAGTAAAAATGCATTTATGTTTTAAATACAGTACTGATTTTAACTATTTATAAAAGTTTACTTTGCCTGTTAGGCAAAAAATTAGACTTACAAAAATCTTTCCTCAAATTTCGCGAAAAGAAGCTCTTCATGTTTAAATATAAACTTTCACTCTTGGCTTTTTCTGTGTCTCACTGGCATGTTGGGGTGTTAAATCCTAGTTGTTGAAATAACACCATCTCTTTAATTCTTCAAAAAATTAGTATCTTCGTCTCAGTTACCGACATACTTTATGCAGTCTTTTATGTAGCACTCTGAGTTGTCTGAATATTACATTTACTTTCATTATTACCTGGAGCTTCTTGAGGACAATGGCAGTTATGATATGAGCATTGCACAGCTGTTCAGATTTCCAGCAAGTTCTTTCTGAACTGCTCTCCTCTGGCATGTGCTTTGTCCCCACTTCCTAGTTTGAGCCAGTTAGTGCTTATCTCCCCCTGGCAGTTAAAACAATTGATAATTTTGTTGGTGATATATGTGTTCACTGTCGTGATTGTGGTCATAGCTTCACAAGTGTATGCATATATATCAATATTAAGTTGTGTAATTGAAGTATGTGCAGATCACTGAATGTCAATTATACCTCATTAAAGCTGTTTAAAAAACCCCTCACATGATCTCCCCACCATCGATAGGTCATTACTTGGTTAAATCCTGTGTCTCTTGAGACTGGTCAGGCTCTGTTCCATACCCCCTCTCCTTTAAGGTCATCTTTTGGCCTGTTTACCCCCAACTCACTAGTTCCTTGCCTCTGTTCTTGGTCCCCATCCCGTTGTCCTTTCTCCATGCTGGAGAACTCTCTTTAGAAGAAAAACCTCATGATGCCACAGCCATTCCTGTAGGCTCCAGCTGTTATTCTTAAGCTACTCCTTTGTGCTGGAAGTGAAGAGTCAACACATTCAAAAGGAACAGATGGGGCCTCTGCTCTCTCCCTGCTCATAGTCTGATGAGCCACATAGGAACACCAACTGTAGACATAAGTGTCCAAGGCTACAGGGGGCATGTCAAATAGATATGCAGATATCAGTATAAATGAAAGTTGGTAAAGCTCAGTAAATTCCAGTGGAAAGGGATGTATTATCAGGCATTCTGCGGTGGTGTTTCTGAAAATTTACCCTAAAGAGCACAGCATAAAAATTACCATTCTTAATCCGATATCTGGTTCCCTCTGAACCAGAATCTTTGGGATTCTGGATGGGCTTGGATATCTATCTGCATTTTAACAAGGTCTCTTCAAGACCACTATCAGGCTACCTTGAACTGAACGGTAAGTCTGGCTGGACTCCAGAACAGTAGAAGTTGATGTTCTGGGTAGTGTACTTTACCCCCCTGGCTTCCTTAAGTATAGAAATGGAAATGTTTTGACCAATATGTAGCATTTTGCCTGGTAGGGTATACCATTTAATGGTGTAGAATTTAAAACATGTATGCTCAAATTCTATAATTTATCTGTTTGGTGAAAATTATGTGGTTAAAAGTTTTGATCAAATTTTTCTTTTTCCACAGAACTCAACAAAAATCCAGTTGAAGGCTTTTCAGCAGGTTTAATAGATGACAATGATCTCTACCGATGGGAAGTTCTTATTATTGGTCCTCCAGATACACTTTAGTAAGTATGATGGAACTGGCATTGTCAAAATAGAGCTTTTTTAATTAATTAAAATTAAAACTATTGTGGCAAACTAAAATGAAATTATTTTTAAAGGAGCAAGTGAAATGTCTGTTCAGTGTCATTTTTACTGAATTTGATCATGTCTAGGGTTTTTGTATTCTGCTTGAAGCTCTAATGTCTAAAACCTCTTGCTTTTCAAAATGTATAATAGTTTCAGAAATTTAGATATTTTTGATACCTGAAATAAATTTATTGCAGAAGAGCTATCTTTGTGGTGAGGTTATATAGAAATTATATAATTTTTAGTTGTATCTTAGAAATTAGGAGATTAATTTTGGCAGGATAAGGGAGAAGAAGAAATACTTCTATCGAAATATATCTCCTCCTTCTCATCTCTTGTACTTACTATGCTTTGATCCCCAAAGGTAACATCATAATTTTAAGGAGCGAGGGTTTGCCATTCATAACACTTTCCAGTTTATTAAAGCACAGGATGGCATATTTCTGGGAGATCTTCATACAGAACATATTGTACACATCAGTGTTTTAAGAAGGCTGGAGAGGACTTTCAAAATCTTCTATTTTAGAGGTTCTTTAATTGGGTCCCCACAGAATATTGGTCAGAATCAAGATGTTTTGACCCTAAAATGAACTTTCTCCTAGTTTATAAAAGTTATTGTTAGAGCATAAAATAATCTACTAACTGACTACCAGTTGAACCAGTGATTTAAAAATGGACAACAGAATGTAGTGGTATCAACAATTTGAAAAAAGATAGAATTTCTTAAATATTTTGTGTAATTCATTTCTAGGCTTAAAAAAGCACAGCCTTATCTGCTCTGAGTGCAGATTAACTTAAATTGACTAGTATTTATTGTTTTATAAGATGCATCATGACTTCCTGATGTTGGTGACTAGTACAAATTCCATGCTTTTTATAGAAGTTGAAGTATTGGATTTGAAAAGCATGAAGTGACCTTCTCAAAGTTATACATCTGAGTATCAGAGACAGATCTAGATCTGAATTTCTTGAGGACTAGACTTCCTCATTCAACCTTGGTCCATGATGGTACACAGTAAGCAAGGATTTGTATCATCAGATATTTTTGTGATGGTTAAGTAGTTGTTTTTAGGTTTTCTAAGATGACAGCTTTTTTTCCTTCCAGAAAACTCCTGATGGAAAAGAAAATTCAGAGCTATACCAGGGTATACCAGGGTAGGCTGAGACATACAGATTTGAACCATAGTGTGAATGTTTTGTTTTCTATAGTCTAAAAAAGTGATATATGCTCTATTATAATTATTGCCAATCAGAATTTTTGCTGCTATATTTCCTGGTGGTATGTTTGCATTGGTAGGTAATTCCGCAGTGTTAATGTTTTTTGGTAGATGATATTAGCCACTAAAAACCATCTTAGAGGTATTCCCTCATAACCTTATTGTTATTTGAAAGCAAATTTCTCAGCAAATTCTGCACACAAAACCATGTAAACAGCTTGGTCTATGAGCCTGAAGAAGTTCAGATCTATTCTTGTTTTCTTAACCATAACACCTTGCATGAAAAGTTTACTCAGAGGAGACACAGCAGCATTCCTGTGTCTGAATCTAATTACCCTTAACAGTAAGTATAAGGTAAGGAGTATCCTAAAGTATTGTCTGTATAGAGCACTGGTTAGAAATCCAGGCTTGAGCTCCAACTCTAAGGGCTTCAGTGAAATTTTACACTTATTTCATGCACTTGGGGCAAGTATCTCTAAATATTATTAGTTGGTCCATACGCAGTATATATTGTATACCTCCATCTTCAAAGAGAGCCACTTTTAAAAATATTCATTGTTCTAATTAACAGGCCGTTCTTTTCATTAATAAAAACCCATTTCTGGCCTTCTGTACACATTTTAAATAGTATTGGCTGTTGATTTGAGATGTCAATAGCAGAAGCATTTGTGGTGGCTCCCCTGAAGTATGTACTTGCTGCTGAGACAAATGGCTACTTCTGCACTGTGCCTTTCTGAGATCATCAGCCTTTGTTTGGGGAACAGAGAGAGAGAACATGTGCCTGGGGCAGGACCCTGAGAAAGGCAAAAGGAAGGTAGCTAGGAGGGAACAAAGAAAGTGAGGTAAGGAAAGGTTTTTATGAAGTAAAAAGTAAGCCCTTTAAAATGCTACCAGAATCAAGTACTTAATAGAATGCTTAAAAACTGTTTGTTGACTTTACATCAAGGAGAGTAGTGGTGTTCTTGTAGTTATTTCAGTGGCACGATTAGCATAGAGGCCAACTTGCAGTTGTTTGAGGAGTGCTTTTGGGATGAATACATAGACCTAAAGTGTAAATAACTTCCTGTGAAGGGAAGCAGAGGCTTGTAATGGGGGTAGGGGGTGATAGGATTGAAAATAAGTTAGTATGGGCTTAGATGGTACCAAACCTAAGTGATTAATTCACCACTTTATAATTAGATCACAGAAATAATACTGTACCAAAATTCCATAAAATCTGGTGTATTATTTGATGATGGCATCATTAGCCTTCATTGAGTCACTAGATGGCACTGCATACTCTTTATAATCTATGTAATCAGTAGCTGTTATATTCAAGCATTATTTTATTTGAGACTGATAGTTGTTGTGAGTATTTATTTAGTCATTATACTCCATATGGTATTACATTCTTATTACTGCTTTGTCCATTATTAAAATTTTTAAGTGCTGTTAAGAATAGATTCTTGAGACTGTCTTTCTATGAAGGGTACATTCTAAAACTGGTGTGGTTTACCTGCTATTATCAGACTGATTATCAAGTGTTGTGGCTAGCCACCCATATCCACAGAAAGAAAAATTTCAGGTAAGAGTGGGTATAGGTTTTTAAAGAAAACTTAAAGAGACCCAGATATTACCCTATAATTTATAAATTTTATAAATTTGTATTAGTGAATGGTGAATGTACACCTTTTTACATTCTGACTCTCCTTTGCTTTCATCACCAGTGGCTGGTCTATTCAAGGAATATGCTTTGTTTTGTTTCTTAGCACTGGCAATAGTTGAAAAATTTGGAGAATCTTAAGATTATATGTATGTGTTTTATAGTATTTCCTTACCTTGGATGGATATAGAAAACAAAGAATCAGCTAAACAAATTCTCTGATTAATATACTTTTACAGTTACAAAATTCTATTATAGTTACAAAATTCTTTTACAGTCCTACTTAAGACTTGTAGGCACAAGCCATTTGTTCTGTAATGACTTTCTGGAGGGAATGAGTCTGTCGTCGGCTTTGCTTAGAAATTGAGTGATCAGTGGCAGTGCTGTGTCATTTATCATGTAGTGCTTAAGAACATGGGCTTTGGGTACTGCCTTTGTTTAGCTTCCTAACTCTATCACTGTTGTATAGTTGTGTGACTTTGAACAAGTACTTAAATTTGATCTTAGCAGTTTCTTTTCCTTTATCTTACTTTATCAGTATTCAGTGTAGTTGATCTTCGTGTCCCTTTACTAATTCCTCCTTTCCCACTTCTCTCTTCCCCGTCCCCTCCCATCAACATTATATTTGTTCACTTGTCTTAACAAATTCAAGGAATTGTTGTGATTGCTCTCTCCTCCTCTCCACCCCCATTTATTTGTTTGTATATTTATTTATTTATTAGCTCCCACAAATAAGTGAGAACATGTGGTATTTCTCTTTCTGTGCCTGGCTGATTTCACTTAATATAATTTTCTTTAAGTCCACCCATGTTGCTGCGAATGGTAGTATTTCATTTTTTTTTAATAGCAGAGTAATATTCCATTGTGTAGATGTACCACATTTTCCTTATTGCTGATGGACATTTGGGCTGGTTCCAACTCTTGGCTATTGTAAATAGCACTGCAATAAACATGGGAGTGAGTACAGGTATCCCTATGACATGATGATTTCCATTCCTCTGGGTATATACCCAGCAGTGGAATAGCTAGGTCATATGGTAGATCTGTCTGTAATTAGTAGACTCATTTCTACGGTAAAACCCTATGCCTAGGAAATGTTCAGAATGTTCAATGTTCTATTGCTTGTAATAGCCAGAAAATTGGAAGCAGTCAACTATCTTATCATAATAATGGATAAAATTGTGGAATGTGGCAGATAAAATAAATGAACTAGAGACAGGCACCAAAAGGGATATAGGTTAAAAGAATGATGAGCAAAATTTCAGAAGGCAGCATACAGTATACCATTTAAATAAAGTAAATATGGAAGAATGATAGGGTCTGATCCTTGTAAGATTTTTATAATGTAATACAAAAACAGTATGGGAGGCCTCATGGAGGAAACTTGAGCTAAGCCTGGGTTTCTTGACCTTTTCAAATGTGAAACTGTTGGTTGCATACCTCTTTTTAACATCATGCTAGTAATTGTACTCATAGTGTCTGTGATGGAGAGGATATATGATGAAAGGAAAGGTACTTTAAATTCATTGATGCTTTTTAGTAAACTTTCATTTTTTTCCCGTCACAGCAGCATCTTTGTATATTTGAAAAATAGTGAATAGGTGATGTGTTGATGTTTATTTAGTCTACAGTGCTATTGTACCCTGTGGTTTTTTGGATTCCTCTCTGCTAATTTGGCTGTTCACTGGAAGTGTGTACCTATATACAGTTTAGGTACTGCTGAGGTAGGCATTAAAAAAAAAAAGTGGAAATTCTACAGGTAAGGCGAAGGGTTCACAGATAGGAGAAAAACTATAAGAAGTACTGTGGTTGGTTCAGGGTGAGTGAGGGCATTTCAGATAGCATGAAAATTTTGTAATTTAGGGCCGGCCCGGTGGCGCACTGTTACAGTGCGCTGCTTGGGAGTGCAGCGGTGCTCCCGCCAAGGGTTCGGATCCCACGTACAGACCGGCCGCTCACTGGCTGAGCGAGGTGCAGACGCAACACTGAGGGTTGCGATCCCGTTGCCGGTCCCGGTCCGGTACGGGCACGACACTGAGGGTTGCAATCCGTTGCTGGTCACAAAAAAAGACAAAAAAAGGAAAAAAAAAATTTGTAATTTAAATCTTTAAGACAACTCTATAAAATTTAGTTGACTTTTTAAAGATTGAAACAATTTAGAGGGACTAAGGTTTTTTGTGATAGAGATTCTTTCTTTTTTTTTTTTAAATGATCGGCAAGGGGATCTTAACCCTTGAGTTGGTGTTGTCAGCACCAGGCTCTCCCAAGTGAGCTAACCGGCCATCCCTATATAGGGATCTGAACCCGTGGCCTTGGTGTTATCAGCACCACACTCCCAAGTGAGCCACAGGCCGGCCCCTGTGATAGAGATTCTGATCAGCTATTATGAAGCTTTTCAGTACGTCTAATCAATCAAAATTAAGTGACTTGGGAAAGCTAACTTAATATTGTCAAGGAATAGCCTTACCAGTGGAAAAAAGTGTATAGGCTTCGTGGCAGCTGCTATGATGTCCTTTTACATAGATTCTTGGTTGTTTTCTGTATTTGTGGCTTTTAATCTTTTTACCACAGCTCCTCATAACCAGAGATATTTTACATTATGACCTGATTAGTGAATAAGAACATGTATTATATAGGTTATGTAACTGAAACAAGCTATTTGTGATATACTTGACATTTTTTCTTCTTTTTTGTTTGTAAAAACTTGGTTAGTGACTCACTAAATTGCTTTTGCAGTCCCAGTTTGAAGAACTACTCCATGTAATTAATATATCCTAAGACTAGTTTTGGCACTAACTTACACAGTTGGGGTAACACAGGCTGAGACGTTAAAGACTATTTCTTATCAGTGTAGTACACTTTTCACAAAAGCTATTCCAGTCTCTATTTCCCTTGAGCCTTCATGTTTTTTCCCTTTAATAGAGAGCTTCATAAATTATGAAAAGCAAGGCCCTAAGGCAGTCATCAAATTTGTAATTTTTCTTTCTTTCTATTCTTGGATATCTTACATTCAGTCTGTTTTTCTCCCTGTAGGAAAGGAAAAGATGTTTTTTTCTTTTTTAGGGTTAGGCCCTCTAATACCTTTGTTTTCTTTCTATCTCTATCTAATTTCTCAGTTATTCTTTAATCTATTGTAGTCTTTTTCTTGTTGCTTTTACCAAAATTGTGTTAAAAAATTCACTGACTTTCTATACTCTTGAGTCCAGTGGCTTTCCTTAAGTATTTAGTATTAAATGATCTACTTCTCTTTTTAAAATTTAATTTGTCCCCCTTCCCCTCTTTTGCTTTTATGGTCAGAAAAAAGGTAATAAAAATTAATACTTGTTTGTGGCTAAAAATTCAAGCTGCATTGAAATGTGCAAGGCATAAAGTAAAAGATCCCATAATCCTTTGCTCTAGAGTTAACTCTTATTTCATATTGATGTTGTGTTTCCAGACCTTTTTGTTTATTTGTATGCAAACATACCCTATTTTTTTTCTTAAAGACAAATGGTGTATTCTATAGATACTTGCTTTTTAAAATTTAATAACAGCTTGCTCATGTCATTCCATGACAATACTTATTACTGATATTTTTCTTGATAGATATTTTCCTTCTACTACTAGAATGGTAAGCTCCGTGGTGATCTTTAATGCTCTGTTCTCTGTTACATCCTTTTACATAGAACAGTGCTTAGCACAACTAGGTAAATGAATGTATATTTGTTCAGTGAATGAAAACCATTTGAAGAGCTGAGAATTCTGTTTCTCACTGATCTGAGACAACCACAGTCATAAGACCCTGCTTTAATGGAGTGTATATTAAACAATAAAAGAATGAGATGTGAGAATTACTGTTGGTAGTAAAGAAATTAAAAGAAGTCAATGTGAGAGAAAGACTTGGGGCTAGTTTCGACTGGTAGTCAAGTCTCTGAGATAACATGTAAGCTGAGTACTGAATGATGATCAGAAGACAAATGGAGAAGAGTATTTCAAATAGAGGAAACATTTAGTACCAAGGCCGCAAGATGGAAATTTATTAATTTTTGTCGCTTAAGGTTTACTTGATCTCTTTGGTTTTAGTTGTTAATGTATATACAACTCGTGTTTCTCTGAGATAATATGTAAGCTGAGTACTGAATGATGATCAGAAGACAAATGGAGAAGAGTCTTTCAAATAGAGGAAACATTTAGTACCAAGGCCGCAAGACGGGAATTTATTAATTTTTGTCGCTTAAGGTTTACTTGATCTCTTTGGTTTTAGTTGTTAATGTATATACAACTTGTGTTGTTCTTTTGACAATGCTTCGAGAACAGTTTCTAATTAAATGGCAGTGATCTAAAACTGCCCTGTTCAATATAGCTGTCACTAGTCACATATGGCTATTAGAATTAAATAAAATAAGTAATTTAATTACTCAGTTGCACTGACAGCACTAATACAGAATATCTCCAGTGCTGCAGAATGTTCTCTTGGACAGTGCTGCTCTGGAAAGTCACTCCATGAGAGACTATATTTTGTTCACAGCTATACTCCTAGTGTTTGACACACAAATTTAGAAAATTTAAATATTTGTTGAAATGATGAAATGGATAACTGGATAGGTGAATGGAAGCAGCACATCTCTTCCCAGACAGGAACAACAAAATGTGCGTAAACTTTGAGATGAGAAAGAACTTGGTGTGTTTGAGGAAATGAAAGGAGACTGGTTAGAACAGAGAGAAGAATGATAGCTTGAGATCAACATAGAGAAATTGGCAACTTGAGCCCATTAGGCAATGTTAAACCTTGTGAATTTTGTTGTAAGTGCATTGGGAAGTGATGGAAAGTTTTGTAGCATAGCAGCAATGTAGTCTGAACTGGATGCCTTTTTAGCAAATGGTTTCTTTAACTTTACTGTCTATCTTGAGTTTAATAAAATGGTAAGTATGACAGTTTATTCAACTGGGTGTTATTCGTATACTTTATTTTTGTGGTAGTGCTAGCACCCTTGTTTTATATTTACTTTATCGAATGATTGCGTACTTATAAGCAGGAACTTACAGGCAAGAACTTGTTTTTGTTGTTGTCGTTTTTTTTTTTCAGTGAAGGTGGTGTTTTTAAGGCTCATCTCACTTTCCCAAAAGATTATCCCCTCCGGCCTCCTAAAATGAAATTTATTACAGAAATCTGGCACCCAAATGGTAAGTTTATCTAGTTTTACTTTTACATTTGCAAATATGATGGCCCGTCACTAAAGTTTTCAAAGCCAATAAGAAAGATGTAGTTCTCGATGAAATTGCTTTGGAATTTTTATATTAAGTTCATTGTGTTAATTATTGTGTTTTGTATTAAGTACATTTTGTTCATTGTGCACAAGGCCTTGTATTAGATTCCTTAAAAGAGGAACAGATCAAATAGAAAAAACTATTTTTTTATTTATCTGCTTAGTTTTCAGCTCTTCTTGATACGCTCAATGTTCCAAACTAGAAGCAAGGTTACTGAATGATAGCCAACATTAATAGAGTTCACATAATTGTGGACATAATTTTCAAGGTATTAGGTGACACATTGGCTGTTACAAAGAGCACAGAAATCATTAAACCTGGGTTTTTGATTTATATTTTCTCAGCTTTTAGACCATGGGGTACTCTTAACTTAGTATTCTTAGCTGTAAAAAAGGAATATCCCACATGTCTTATTGGATGACTGACTGATAGGATCAAATGAAATAACATACTGTATTTTTTATGCTTGGAAAGTGTCCAGTACTGCTGTGCATGAAATAATGACATTGACATTTTTACCCAAAGATGAGCTACCACTTAAAATCCCATTGTAAGCCAAAGGTTAGGGTAGATAGCTATGTTTTTACATAGTCTCCCTGAATGTTTGGCCTTATTTTGTATGATAGAGCTTGCAAGGATTTCTTTTCTAATTACTTTGACTATGTATAATCAGAATTTCCTTTTTAGGCTACTGTACTAATTTGCATTTTGCTTCTCATCATCCAGACTCTTTTGGTTGCAAGGAATAGAAACATACATATATTATGTATGTTAATCAAAAATCAGTGTCATGTAATGGGTGAATGAATAAATTAAATAAGGATTTATCAGAAGGGACATAATAGAGCCCAAGGCTTGAAAAACAGATGTGGTATTATGAGGGATTGGAACTGGCAAGTGGAAAACTGCTGAGAACCAAGGGAGCTCTCACATTTCATTGCATCTAAAACAGCTGTAATCGTAAAAGAGACATAGTTATTTTTCATACCAATAAGAAGGGGAAAATATCGCTGACAATTAAATTGTGGTCGAATGCGTTAGCGATCGTCCTGCGTGATGTGAAGATGCATGAATTGGTGACATCAGTCTCTTGTTGCTCTGACATTTCTTTCATCTCTTTCTAGGCTTTTGGCAGTTTCTCCTGCCTTCATGTGAATTATTTCATGTGTGATAGGCAATCTTTTTGCACCTATTTCAAAAGAAGATATAACAAAGCTTCTGAATTTTGGCTTCACTGTAAATTAGCTGTGTAACTCTAGGCAGAGTCTCTTTTTTTTTTTCCTTTTTGTCTTTTTTTTACTGACCGGTAACGGGATCGCAACCCTCGGTGTTGCACCCGCACCGGGGACCGGCAACGGGATCGCAACCCTCGATGTTGCGCCCGCACCGGGGACCGGCAACGGGGACCGGCAACGGGATCGCAACCCTCGATGTTGCGCCCGCACCGCGCTCAACCAGTGAGCGGGAACCGGTCTCCACATGGGATCCGAACCCTCGGCGGGAGCGCCGCGGCACTCCCAGGCGGCGCACTCTCCGGGCCGGCCCTAGGCAGAGTCTCTTTGAGCTTTCATTTTTCTATTTGTGAAAATTAAATGAGAGAGTATATGTAAGGAAATACATGGAACTTCTTTTTTGGTAAGAAGAAGGAAAACAATAGCCTAGTTAGTTAAGAGGACTACTGATGAAATAGTGTGTGTGTGTTTTTAAGGTTGAAGAGACTTTTTATTTTGTAGGTCATAAGGCAGAGATATAAGAGAGGGAAATAATGAAGACTTGATTTGAGAGGGAAGATAATTTGTGAAGAAAGGCTACACGAGGAGGCGATGGGGTGGGGGGCCAGGGAGGGCAGGCGTAGAAAGAGTTAGATGTAGGAAGGAGTGAAAAGTCATTATTAAATAGGAATGGGAGAAAGACCTGGGTATGTGAGTGCTAGGCACTGGAGGTAGGTACAAAGATGATTAATCAATTATGATCCTTTTCTATAAAGATGTCGTGGTCAATATGTGGGAGAGACACAGGTGTAAATAGTTGATAGTGAAATAGGAATCAGAGTGTTTTGACAGCGTGGGAAGAGGGAGTCAGAAGCCAGTTTCCAGTGAGCTAAAGGAATACCCAAGTAGTGAGTAAATAGAGAGGATGAGGGTAAACCAGCTTTTCATAATTTTGATGCATGGCCTAAAGAGAAAGGAGATAGCTAGGAAGATATACATTGTTCAAGTAGTCTAGTTTTAAGAAGGAAGAGGTGTGTTTTCTTTTCTGTAATTGATGCTGAGATCATTGGCTAGGTATTTAAGTGAAAAACTATTTAATTTTGTTTATACCAAACAGCAAAGTAAATTAAAACTCTAAATGGAATTAAAAGTTACAAGTGATTTTTTAAAATAGTAGCAAATATCACTTATTTGGTGTATGTTAGTGATAAGAACTTTCTAGTTTCAGAAGTAATGAACATTGAAAGACTAAAAAAATGAGAATACAGAGAAATGGCAACCACATGCAATATAGGATTCTCAGGTGGATTTTGTATCAGAAAATAAAGCCAGCTCCAAAGAACATTGAAATGAAAGATAAAACAGGCAAAAATTACATGGTGGACATGAAGAAGGATTTTGTCAGGAAGAAACTAAACATTAAGTACATAACCGGCTTAAAGGATAAGAACAAATATTTCACAAAAGAGGAAATACATACAGTTTATATATATAAGAAATTCTACAAAAACATTTAGAAAAATGAACTAAACCAGATGTTATGTATGAAATTTAAACAGCATCAATAAAGAAAAATCTTAATCCTGAATGAGGAGACAATGAAATTGTCACCTCATATTGCTGTATAAACTGGTAATAATCCTTTAAAAATGTAATTTGGTAATAGGTTTTGAGCCTAAAAACCTTCTCATTCTATAGAAAATTAAACTGTATATTTAAAATGAAATGACACAAGAGGGTAAAAAATTTAAAGGCCCTAGATTAATAATAAATTAATACAACAAAATTTTAAAAGGAAAGTAGATCTTTAATCAATTCCCTCTGATATAATTCTACAAACATACAATATGCTTTCCAAGAAAATGACTTAGAAAAAAATCTGTATTATGTAATAAGCAAGGAAAACATTGTAAATAATACTTTAAAATTTTTATACTAAACTTTGTAGCATTGTTATAAGTTTTGATGTTATTTTTGTTAATAGATTTTAGTTAATATATTTTACTGGTGGGTGGGGATGAGTTGGGAAGAAGAACCTTAATTAGAGAAAAGCTCACGTATAAAACATTGAGAACTGCTGTTCTCGCATGTATGGTGTGTGCCTGGCACATAGTAGGTTAGACTCAATGTAGTTACCCTAGAGATGAAATACCAGGTACTTCAAGAAGTTAGTGGAGAAATGGAATTAAAAGATAGTATGAATCTTTGCATGAACTTTTTGAAGTACTTCATAGACATAAATATTGCCACTTGTTATTTATGGAATTTGGATATTTGGTTGAAGAAAATTTTTACACCAAGGAATTTTAAACTTCTTTCTATTTTAAAATTTGCCCAAAATTTTTTTGAGGAAATTATACAATTTTTTTTTTTTTTACAGTGGGAAAGTTTTACCGTAACAGATTAGTTTCATTAATAGCAAGTATTTATATGATATATAAATGAATTTGTGGATTAGGACTTCAACTTTTAGTTTTGGTCAATAATAATATTTTATTTTACTTTTTGTTGAACCACTTCAAAGTAAGATACAGTTATGCCAACATGTTTCCTAAAAATTACTCAAGTGACTATTACTTGTGACTTACATTTAAGATGTATTTATAGAATGTTGAATCTTGTATATGTTGATGATGAATTTTCACTGGCAATATGACATGTTTCTTTATGTATATTTGAATACGCTTCTCTCTGGAAATATAATTTTGCCTTCACATGATTTTAATAATATATTATGATATTACTTCTAATTTTTTTAAGAAAAATCTCTAGACCTTTAACTATTGCCAATTTAAATCAGTAAGCTAGTGGTGAAACTAGGAAGCCATTACATAGAAACTCAGTATCTGGTATTTTGCATCCAGTATTCTCTGCAAATGAGGAACAGATCCAGTAGTTGCCATTTGTTCATTTACATTGTACTTACTATGTGCAAGTAAATGCTAAGCACCATCTACATGCTAGATATGTTAAAGTTTACACAAATGAAAAAGATGGCTTACATTCCTATTAAGTTTGTCAAGCGGATCCTGTGTATTTGGTAAAATCTATAGTCTTCCTAAAAGGTTGGCAGATTCCATTTTGGAAATTAACTTTTGTATATATGTAATGTTTTATACAGGTACTAGGTGAATCAGGATCACATTTGTAATAGATATATTATGTATAACCAAATTAGTGATCTATTAGCGACAAGATATATGTGCATTGTCAATATTTTAACAAGACTCTTATTCTCTAATTTGGCAGTTGATAAAAATGGTGATGTGTGCATTTCTATTCTTCATGAGCCTGGGGAAGATAAATATGGTTATGAAAAGCCAGAGGAACGCTGGCTTCCTATCCACACTGTGGAAACTATCATGATTAGTGTCATTTCTATGCTGGCAGACCCTAATGGAGACTCACCTGCTAATGTTGATGCTGCGGTAAGGTGGTCATGTGCCTGCGTGCCACGCCCCTATCCTCCCCTAAAACTCGACTGGAACTACAGTATTTATATATGTCTATTCGTATGTGCATGTATCCATATTTCTTATTTAGTTTTTGACAAAAATTGTATATGTTTGGTTAGTATATATCAAAGTAATTTTCAAGAATACAATACATTGTTATTAATTATAGTTGACATGTTGTTCAATAGATATTTTGAACTTACTCATTATTGGAGCCAAAATATTAATAGCTACAATAATCTGTTAAGGGATACACAATATAAAAAGATGTAAATTGTGAAATCGAAGTTTGAAAAGTCTACAGAAAGTTGAATCAGTTAAATGAATACCCTTAGACACTTTATCTATATTCACCAGTTGTGATTTTACAACCTTTTTTCCTTTTAGTTAAACCGTTTGAGAGTAGTTTATAGATATCATAACTCTCTACTCCTAAATACTTAAGTATGCAGTCCCAGGAACAAGAGTAGGCATATACAAGTCTATCACTGAAATAATACTATTATTGAATGTACGTACACAGCCCATATTCACGTTGGACAGTATTGTCCAATATTGTTATAAGCTGTACCCTCTCCTCGTTTTTTTTTTCCCCATGAAAATCCAAAGTCTAGTCTGGGAAACTGCATTCATATTCTCTCTATCTATACACACACACACACGAGGGTGGAAAAAAATATATATATATGAACACTATATATTTATATCTATAAATATATCTGTACACATTATATCTATCTGCCCTCCGCCCCTGCCGTACTACATGATCTGGAAACAGGTTTTTGGAGGAAGGCAGGGGCTGGCTGGTAGATGCAGGGATGAGCCCCGGACCTCAGTGTTTTCAGCACCATGGTCTAACCAAATGAGCCAACCAGCCAGCCCTACATTGTATTTTGTATTCAAGTTTTATTAGTTTCCTTTGATCTAAAGTAGTTCCAGATTCCTTAGCCTTCTTTCTTTGAAAAGCCTTTTGTTTGAATTCTTATTCTTGGAACCTTTGTTAGTATATATTAAAGCTTTTTGGGGGGTTAATAAAAATTTGGATGGAATCTTATATGTAGAATGAGATTATATAGATAACCCCTTTTGAAATTTATGGCTTTGAATTCTTTAATTTAGTCATAGAATTGAACTAAGTCTGACAGAAAACCACTTTAACTTTCTATTTAATCAAGTATCAGTCGGAGCAATATTAATAGGCAATAAGGGAGAAGAGGTGATAGCTGCTTTATATAAAAATTCTAAGGAATCATTTTGAGAAAGAACTAATTAATGTTTCATTTGGTGCATGCTCAACTGTCAGCACTTTTTAATAAAATCAAAACTGACAAGTTGCCTTTTAATCTTAAAGGATAAATTAATAGAAAATAATTGAGACTATGAATATGCAAAAATTAACTTCAAAACAACTGAGTTGTGAAACAGGAGACTCTTGATGCTAAACATTTTCTTGAGTGTAGAAATAGGCTTTAATATAAAGTTGAAGGATGCAAACATGAGTTCTAGTCTGAACACCATAAATTGTGCAAAAACCTATTCCATTATTTTTCTTAAAACCCACTGATTCCTCTAATTTAACCAGTTAGTTGTCTCATATTAAACCATAACTTTCTTATAAACAGTTTTGTTTACTTTTATTTGGTTTTTCCTCTAGCATTCTATATACCTTTGATCATACTTTAATTTTTTTTTGTTTGTTTCTTTTCCTGACCTCTCAATCAATAGTACCTATTCCAAGAAACCCCCAATTTTCTTAGAGATCTCTCTGCTGGATCCCTGCGTCTTTTGGCTCCAAACTAGGTTGACTCTCAGCCTGCTGCTTAGCTGTCTTCCTTGGATTCCCCCTTCACTGTTCTGCTGGATTGGGCCTTTTGTTTCCTAGATCCCATTGCTTTTTTTGGTTGACTTCCTCCTTTTGCCTAGATACTTCATCCTAGAGTAATAATTTCTTAGGATATGTGGGAATTAAATCCTGAGTCCTTTAAATTCTTAGGATATGTGGGAATTAAGTCCTGAAAAATACCCGATTCAAGGTATTTTTATCCTTCCTTATACTTGGCTTATACTTTGTATAAATAATTCTAGGGGAAAAAATCAAATTTACACAAAATTTATCTGTTAGCCTTTATTATTGCTGATGAGAAAGTTGATGCTAGGCTGATCCCCCTCCCCCCTTCTCTTTAGGTTCTTTATTCTTTGTCTCCTGAAATTTCACAGTTATGTGAGCTCTTTTTAATTTTCAGTCTCTGTAGTTGATGTATATCATCTGAGTTTGAAGACTTTGGCTTTGGGAAATTTTCCTTTTTAATTATTTTGGGAATTTCTCACTGTTTAATATTCTCCCTTTTTTAAAAAACTTGTTTTAGTTATTATCCAGATTGATCCCCCATATTTTATCTTTTTCACCCAAAATAGTGTCAGTTTTGAATTTTCTAGTGAATTTTCATTTTAGCAGCATTGCTTTTAATTTTAAATAACTTTTTGTTTTCTTCATTAATTACTTTTTTCATGGAACTTATCACTGTTTAGTTAATTTGAATGTTTAGATTTTTAAAAGTGGCCTTCTGAAGTCTCTTTCTCTGAGGTTAATTTTTCTTTTGTATTTTGAAGTCTACTTAAGAACTGCGTAGGCTTTCTACACTACTGCCATTTATGATTAAGAAAAGAGGGTCTGGGAAAGCAGAATGGAACTGTGTGTGCATCGGGGAGGGGTATAGTATTTATTTCACTCAAGGTTGTAAGGATAAGCTAGATATTAAACTGTAGGTGAGGGTTAGGGGAAGAAGGGTGTCTTTTAATTCCAAAATGGAGTAATTACTTATGGCACAAATACCCATATTGGGAGCCCTAATTCTAATACTCTTCAGTATATTTATATGAAATCTCTATATTAGCATTATTATTTTAGGAAGGTGTTAAAATTTTGGATATAGATGGTGGTGGGGAAATGGATTGTATAGACTTTTAATTATTCTATCTATTTTCAGCCCACCTTCTTACTCAGTCTTTTCTCAGCTTTGCCATTTTCAAATCTTAGCTTCTTTAGGGTTCTGTTTCTTTTTCTTTTCTTTTTAATTTGGTAGCTGGCCTGTACGTAGGGTTCTATTTACTAGGTCCTTCACTCCTTTGTTTTGGTTCCATTGAGACTTCTCTAGGCTGCTACCTGTTCTCCACTACATGTTTTAATACTCTTCCATCTGCTTGTCGTCTTCCAGAAATCTCCCTTCCTCCCCAATATTGGATGGCTTTCCTGCCATTTTCTTTGATATTGAGAGTTTATTGCCTTAAAAATAAATTTCAGTATGATCATTTTAACAGGTATTCAGGAGAGCAAAGTGATAAACATGTATACTTTTTGCTGTACACATGGAATTCATAGCCATTTCCCTTTGACTGGAATTGTCCTTTTCTTCCTTTTACTTAAAAATGAAAAATGAGGTAATTATAGACATTACAACATTTTACTCATAAATTCTTTAGCAGACACCTAAAAGAGCAAGACATTTCTCTATAACAGTATCATTAATTATACCTAACCAAATTTATTGTAATTCCTGAATATGATGGTACTTTAAAGAGTTGTGGGAAAATTGTATTATCTATTAATTCTACTTTTGTACAAACTTTTTGAAGTACTCTCATATTCAGATGTCCAAATTACACTCAATATTTCCCCTGTTGTCTCCTAAAATGTTCAAAACTTTTTTCCCCAGACCTGGTGATGACTGAAAGACTTTCCTGATCCTCTGTCCTAGATTAGTTCCCTTCCTCCATAGTTCTATAATAATCTCTGTACATATCAGCATTATACTTTCTCTCACAGTTTATGTAATGATTGGTTTATTGGTGTGACTTCCTTTGAGGACAAAAAATTGTGTTTTGAATCTCTTCCTTTGCAAGTGTGAGGGTTGACGATTTCTATAGTCTTTGCCATCCCTACATGGATTGTATTAAAAAAAAGAGAGAGAGAGAAAGAAAAAGACTGGACATTTTTGTGAGAATTTCTTGCTATTTCATGCTAGATAAAGTCAGGTCTGTTCTCATATGAAACTGCTGGTGCTGTTTTGTGTTCCATTATTACGTGCCTGGCAGTGATGGTGATACTGTCCTCTGTTTTCTCCTACACTAGAAATAGTACTCAGTATCTTCTCAATATGATGTATTTCACCTACCTTATGAGAGACGGTTTTGTTTATTTTCTGGTTGTTCCCAATAGGAAGAATTGGTAATCATTCAGATAGTCTGAATGTCTTATTTGTAAATTGTAGCTTTTTTTTTTTTTTCAGTGTAATACAACACTGTAAATATCCTTTTTTGGCTTTTCCTTTTTAGAAGAGAATTTTTCCTGAAGAGGTAGTTCACATAGATTTCTGCTTATATATCCCAGCAGAGTGCCTTGAAAAAGTAATTTTTGACTTGCTTTTCTATTTTATCAACTTCTTAAACATTTTCAAAGTGCACAAATTACCAAACGATTACATTCAAGATTAAAATAGGTATTTGAGATTATATGATGGAGTTTGCATAAAATCACTTGATATTACTTTTGTACCTACAGAAAGAATGGAGGGAAGACAGAAATGGAGAATTTAAAAGGAAAGTGGCCCGCTGTGTAAGAAAAAGCCAAGAGACTGCTTTTGAGTGACATTTATTTAGCAGCTAGTAATTTCACTTATTTCAGGGTAAGTTCATTAAAAAAAAAAGAAAGAAAGAAAAAGAAATCATTCTACTTTTTTGCTGTCTTGTAAATGCCACATAATTTTTTTGAAATTGTGTGATTTGAGTATTTGAATTGTTTGTTTTCATTGGCTTCATTTTTTTAGTACTATTATCCAGTAGTCTCCTTGTTCTCAAGGCTACAGCATAATCTGCTTCTTTTTCTCTTTTAGTGAACTCAGCTGTTTTTAACTAGATAATTCTGTATTAAAATAGTTAGTATGGTGACAGTCTATTTCTTTTCATTGATAATAAAAATTTCTAATGGTAAAGTACTTAGTTTAGTTTCTTTTGTTTTACCTTTTGATCTACCATCCTGACCACTGCTGGGCACTGATGTTTCTTACACTTTTTTATGCTGTATTGTATATGGTAAAGGGTAACTTAAATTTTTGTTTGTTTTCTACTTTTTTAAAAAAGAAAGATCATATTTCATGTGATCTTTATATGCCAAGATCATTAAACATTTACCTTTTTTTAAAAGTTGGTCTTTTATCTCCTTGGTCTTTACTGATAGGGCCAGTAGGAAATATTTTCCTTTTATTGTATAACATTTGTCCACAAATTTTATCTTAGTTTTAGCAAGGAGTCACAAATGGAAGGTACCCATCTGACTTAGGGGAGGACATAATGTAGAGAAATTGGCCACATGTGTGTTATTTGGTCTTTAAAAAAAAAAAATTTAAATATCGAAGTGATAAAAACTATGAAATGTAGCATCTAAAAGTGCATGGTACATTCCTGTATCCACCACTTATTTTAAGAAAATGAACATAACTGTTATCTTATATCCATTGTAGTCCCCTCCTCTTTTCCATCCCTTTCTTGTATTCCTATTTCTGGGTTTACCATTGCTTTTTTCTTCATAGTTTTTGTACCAAGTTTGCATTCCTAAACAGATGTATTACATATTTTTGAACTGAACAAGAGTACTTCAGAAAGTTCATGGAAAAATGGAATTACAAGATAGTATGAGTGCTGATCTGTTTGTTCAGTTGGTCAGAGTGTGGTGCTGATAACAGCAAGGTTCAGGGTTCGAGCCCTGTACTAGCCAGCTGCAAAAATCCAAAACCAAGCAAAACCAAACCAAATAAAAGATAATACAAATCTTTCCTTGAATTTTTTGAAGACCCTCGCATATATGTGAAATTATAATGGATGTATTTTTTTTGTGACTTTTATTGCTCAACATTATATTCTTCAAATTGATCTGTGTTTTCATTGTTGTGTAGTATTTCATTAGATAAATTACTTCTGTACACTTTTATTCTCATGGCAGTCATTTTCTGATTTGGAGTGGTGTTGTTTTTTCTTTTGTTTTTGCAGTTATAGAGTGTGGCCATCCTTTCCTGTTTCACACGTACTATGAGAGTTTCTCTAAGGTGTATACTTAAGGGTGGAATTGTTGAATTAAGGGTACATGCACATCACCAGCTTGTTTTCCAAAGTGTTACATGCATCTATTTATACTTCTGTTGGCAAGGATAAGGATTACATTCGCTCCTTATCCTCTTAAACATGTATTATCAGACACCTGAAAAAATTTTAATCTACATGTTATAAAATGATAGGTTATGGTGGACTTAGTGTGTATTGCCCTAGTTACCAGTGGGATTGCATACTGTTTCATATGCTTAACATTGAAACTTCCTCTGTGAAATACCTGTTGAAGTTTTTGGAGTATTTTTTTTAGGTTGTTGATTTGTATGCTTGTCATTTTACTCTCTTTATGGTATCTTTGGATGAACAAAGATTCTTAGTTTTAATGCAGTTCAATTTGTTAATCCTTTTCTTTTCTTTTTTTTTTTTTTTTGGTCCTTTTTGAGACTGGCCGCACTGCGCTCAGCCAGTGAGCGCACCGGTCATCCCTATATAAGGATCCGAACCCGCGGCGAGAGCGCTGCTGCGTTCCCAGCGCCGCACTCTCCTGAGTGGCCACAGGCTTGGCCCTTGTTAATCCTTTTCTTAACGGATTTTACTTTTTGTTTCTTAGTTAGTAAGTCCTTCTCTTTGTTGCCATCAAAAAGCTTAGTGCTCAAGGGTTCGTTCCGATCCCCTTACTGGCCAGTGGCTTCCCCTGCACCCCTTCCAAAAGCTACTGTTTATATTATCTTCTGATAGTTTTGCCTTTCATATCTATGTTGAATCCACTAGATTTAAGTTTCGTGTATGGTATGAGATAGAGGTTGAACTTCATCTCCCTTAGTCCCCCTGATGTATAACTGTTGAATACACCATTCATTGACAAGTTCTTCCTTTCACCACTGATGTACAATACCAGTTATGTCATAAAATCACATTTCCAGGTATGAGTTGATCTGTTTTTGGCTTTTCAATTTTTCATTGGTTGGCTTGTCTGTCCCTGAACCAGAATCATCATACTGTCCTAATTTTTGTTATTTTTATGATCAAATATATCAAATGCAAAGGTGTTTATATCTATCCTGTTTTTGTTCTATTTTTGCTTAGTAATCATGTTCTTATGTCATTATAATTCTGTGATATCTCCCTCACATATAGTCAGTGGCCCTTGCATGTGGTGTTTTTCCTTTTTTTGACTCTTGCCACCACTTTAGACTATGTTCTTATTACTAGACCCTTTCCTAAGTCTCCTGGTATTGAACATCCTCCACGCATGCTAGTCTTCAGAAAGCTCAGCTCATTGTATTGGTTCTTTTATGGGTATTATATTCACTTAAGAACAAGAAAGCCATCATGGCTTGTTGTCCTTACCCTTACCTGTTTTTCAGTCAGAAAAGAGCTTGGTGACAACAAAGTGAAGAGGAATAAAGTATCCATATTGAAGCCTGAACTTATTTATAATTTGACATTGTAAACAGTACTTTATAAATTTAGGAAATAACCAAGTGTTTTATTACATTTACCTTGATAATATATTGAAAATTAATTAAATAATACTAATGAAGTGTTGAAAACAAATATTGTAAGGGATTGTATATTATCTGCTTTACTAGTGGGATGAGTTACTTTAGGTTTGAACCATCAAATATATGAAAGGGTCTTTAAAAAGTTCCTGGAAAGATCATATTATCCTTTAATTCCATTTTTCCATGAACCTTCTGAAGTATACTCATTTAGATCTTTAAAGTTTCGTTATCAAGATTAGTCCACTTATCACAAAGGTACAGGCTAAAAATAATGTTGAACCAAAATACTTCATTTTTAAGAACAGGTTTATTGAAAAACAGTATAGTATACTGCTAATGGTGAACCTAAATAATAACTTATAATTAAAGAGTAAGTAAGCAATAATTGGAAATCTTTTTTTTTTTTTTTTTTTTTTTTTTTTTTTTCCGTGCCCGCAAACGGACCCCAACCCCAAGGGTCCCCCCCGTCCCGGCCCGGGCCCCGACACGG